CTGCAACATGGGGCCATGGGGTGGAGCAGAGAAGAGCCTGCAGCTTGGGGCCACAGGGCGGAGCAGAGGGGAGCCTGCAACATGGGGCCATGGGGCAGAGCAGAGAAGAGCCCGCAGCATAGGAGCCACGGGGAACTCTCGTGGTTGCTGGACTCTGACCCCCGGTGCACAGGGCTCCCAGTGTCAGGGGAAACACTGGTGACACTTTACCCAGTATGCAGAATTGATCCCCAGCCCAGCTGGGCCTCACACTGCTGACAGCCTGACAGTGTGGAGCAGACTCCCAGAGACAGGCAGACGTGCAGTGGCATGGAGGGTGAGGCTGGAAGTGGGGTTCCTCTGGGCTAGGCTGGGTCAAGCTACAGGGACCTCAGGACCTGGAGTAGCATTCAAGGGGATGGGGAAATTCAGAGGAGGGAGGGTGGAGGTCTGGCCAATTGCCGGAGGTTGGAAGGAAGAAAACAGAGACCTTAGGAGAGGGAACTGGGTGATTCTGGGCCTAGAAAATGAGGGGCCACTGTGGACTAGATATGATGAGGGGCTGAGGCTGAGGGAGGTCAGCAGCTGAAGGGCAAGAAGATTGGGAATTATGAAAGAAAGATCAGATAGCCGAATGGTCAAGAACTTGACCCTAGAGTTAGTCAGACTGGATGTGAATCCCATCTCTGTTACTTAGAAGCTGTATGATCTTGGGCAGTTTATTTAATCTTGCTCAGCCTCTGTTTCCTTATCTGTAAAATGGGAATAATTATAGAACATTTAACAGTACCTGCTTCATAGGATCCTTGTGACTAAGTAAGATAATGTATGCATAATGCCCACCTCCTAAGAAGGACTAACAAAAACTGCAGAGCTGAGGGAAGGACAAGAGGGTGTGCCGAGATGAAAAGATGGGGAGGAGAGGCAGGTGTCCATGCAACCCCCTTCCATTGCAGGGCCAGCGGGGTACCTGCGGCGGGCCAGCGTGGCCCAACTGACCCAGGAGCTGGGCACTGCCTTCTTCCAGCGGCAGCAGCTGCCTGCCGCTATGGCAGACACCTTCCTGGAGCACCTCTGCCTGCTGGACATCGACTCCGAGCCCTTGGCCGCTCGCAGTACCAGCATCATTGCCACCATTGGTAAGCACCCTCTATCCCCCAGAGCATCACAGGGCCTCTTGGGTGTTTCTCAAGGTGCTTCCCCATCTTTTGTCTCCTTTGAGACGCCTCCATATTTGACAGTCATTCATTCAACAAATATTTGTTGAGCACTTGGTAGACAAGGTTTTGGGCACTGGGAGTAGATCAGTGAAATAAAGATCCTTACACTTGGGGAGCTGACAATCTAGCTGAGTGGGACAATAAATGATAAACATAATAAATTATTAAAAATAAATAAATTATTTAGTATGTTAGAAAGTGACAAGACCTATGGAAAAAAGAAAAATAGAGCATGGTAAGGGGCATTAGGAATGTGAGAATGGGAGGCAGGTTGTAATCCTAAATAGGGAGTCAAGGTAGCCAGTATTCAGATAATTAGACTTGAGCAAAGGCTTGAAGGAGATGAGAGAATAAGCCATGCAGATGTCCGGGGAAGAGAGTTCCAGGCAGAGGGAACAGTTAGTGCAAAGGCCCTAAGTCAGGGAGTCTAGAATTGCTAGAAGCCATCAAGAGGGAAGAGTAGCAGAAATGAAGAGACTGGGGAGGAGGGGAAGATCGTGGAGGGCTCAGTAGGCCATTTTTAGAATTTGAGTTGAGTTTTCCTCCCTGAAAAATGGGAAATTACTGCAGAGTTTTGAGCAGCGGGGAATGGCACACTCTTCTTTTTTTTTGTGTGTGAGGAAGATCAGCCCTGAGCTAACATCCATGTCAATCCTCCTCTTTTTGCTGAGGAAGACTGGCCCTGGGCTAACATCCATGCCCATCTTCCTCTACTTTATATGGGACGCCGCCACAGCATGGCCTAACAAGCGGTGCATCGGTGCGCACCTGGGATCTGCATCCGGGCCACCAGCAGCGGAGCACGCGCACTTAACCGCTACGCCATGGGGCCGGCCCCAGGAATGGCACACTCTTATGTGTGTTTTAACAGGACCACCCTTACTGCTGTATTGAATATAGATTGGGGGTGAGGGTGGGGGCAAGGGCAGATGCTGCTTCTACAGTATTTCTGGCTCAGACCAGGTGGTGGCTGTGGAGGTGGTGAGAAGTGATCCGATTCTGAATGCATTCTGAAGGTAGAGCTGACAGGATTTCCTGATGGATTGGATATGGGGTGAGGGTGAGGGTGAGGGTGAGAAAGGAGTCAAGGATGATTCCAAGGTTTTTGGCGTGAGGAACTAGAAGGATGCATTCTTAACTGAGCAGGAAAACCGTGAGGAAAGGCTGACGGGGAAGAGATCAGGAGTTTGGGGCATGCTGAGTTTGAGATTCACATTAGGCATCCAAGTGTGATACAGAGCAGGTAACCAGACACACAGCTCTGGGTCTGGGAGAGAGGTCTGAATTGGAGATATAAATTTGGGAGTTGTCAGCACATAGGTGGTATTTAAAGCCATGAGACTGGTTGAGACCATGAAGGGAGTGAAGGTAGAATGAGAGAGAAGAGAATGGGTCATCTAATGTTAAGTGGAGGAAGGAGCAAGGGAGGCTGAGAAGGAACAGCCACTGAGGTAGGAGTAAACCAAGAGAGGGTGGTGTCCTGGAGGCCAAGTGAAGAAGGTACCCCAAGGATGTGTGTCACATGCTGCCGATGGGCCCGCTAAGATGAGGACTGAGAATTGACCATTAGACTTAGCAACAACACAGAGGTTCTCAGTGATTTTGACAAGAACAGATGCAGTAGAGAGATGGAGGCCAATGCCTGACTGGAGTGACACAATGGAGATTGGGTGGGGCGGGGAGCAGAATTGGAGGCAGCAAATACAGATAATTCTTGCAATGAGTTTTGCTGCCAAGGAGAGCAAAGAAATAGAACTGTAGCTGGAGGGGGAGGTGGGATTAAGAAAATATTTTTATGATGAAAGAAATAACAGCAGGTTGACATGCTGATGAGAATGATCAAATAAAAAGGAAAACATTGATGACGTGGAGGACTGGAGAATGGCTGAATCTATGTCTTTGAGCAGGTAAGAAGGAGGAGACCTAGTGCACCAGTGGAAGAACTGGCTTTAGGTAGGGACTAGAGAGGTTGGCCAGCTGGCTCTCAGTTACATAGCTGCCCTATCCGCAGAGCAGGGGTGGGATAGAACTCAGCTCCCCTCTGTCAGTATGAGGCCCCTCAGCTCTAAAGCCCGGTACCCCAAATGCCCTCACTTGGCACCCATCCCCTGCTGTACCCCTCTCTGGGGTTACCCCAACACTGTAGCACTTACATCACTGCCAACCCAGTTACCTCAGGGTTGAGGACACTCCTCTCCAAGACCCCCACAGTGTTGCCTCCCCAAGGAGGCAGGTGTTGGTTAGAGAGGAGAACGGAGTTTCTGACCTGCGAGCAGGGATTGCACCAGGGAATAAAGGTCAGGTAACAGGACTTCTGTGGCATGGGGCATCTCTCAGGGTGGTGATGGGTTTGGTTGTCTCAGGTTTGGGGAGAAAGTTGTCTGAGCCGGATCTGTGTTCCAGGGCCAGCATCTCGCTCCGTGGAGCGCCTCAAGGAGATGATTAAGGCCGGGATGAACATTGCGCGATTCAACTTCTCCCACGGCACCCACGAGGTTCGGGGCAGGGCCAAGGGGAGGTGGGCGGGGCTAGAGGATGCCCCGGGGTCCTGGCCACCTTCACCTGAAATCCCTGCTTGGTTCCTGTCCCCAGTACCACGCTGAGTCCATCGCCAACGTCCGAAAGGCGGCGGAGAGCTTTGCAACTTCTCCGCTCAGCTACCGACCCGTGGCCATCGCTCTGGATACCAGGGGACCGGAGATACGCACAGGGCTCCTGCAGGGGGTGAGAGGAGGGCGGGGCTGGGCCACGCCTGGCGGACCAGCAAGGGGGCGGTAGGGCGCGGAGACAATTGCCCATGGGGCGGAGCGTGGGGAGAGGCCGGCCCGGGACAGCTTGGGGCAGAACTCAAGACTGCTCTGGCTCCGCCTCTAGGGCCTGGAATCGAAAGTGGAGCTGGTGAAGGGCTCCCAGGTGCTGGTGACCGTGGACCCGGCGTTCCAGACGCAGGGGAACGCGAACACCGTGTGGGTGGACTACCCCAATATCGTCCGGGTCGTGCCGTTGGGGGGCCGCATCTTCATTGACGACGGGCTGATCTCCCTAGCGGTCAAGAACATTGGTGCGGATGCGCCTCCCGCCCGGCCATGCGCAGACCCTGGGGACACTCTCTTCCCTTTGGCTCGCACACTCGTAGACCGGCCACACCTTCCCTTGGCCAGAGATCTTCCCCACCTGTCCCCGTCCCCGGAGCCCCGGCATCCAAACTCCTGGGCTCACCTTGAGTTGGGGCTGGACTGGCGGGTTGTCCTGTCTTCCACATAAGTCTACCCCGTAGTGCAGACCCCAGGCCAAGGGTGGAGAGACCAATAGAACATGGGTTCCTGATCTCTTGGGGGTCCAAGCCCCGTGTTCCCTCTGCCATGACTATGCCCAGGCCTCACCCCTGACCTAGGCTGGCTCTTTCTTTGCCCACAGGCCCAAAGGGGCTGGAGACTGAAGTGGAGAGTGGTGGCCTTCTGGGCAGCCGGAAGGGCGTGAACTTGCCGGGCATCCAGGTAGACCTGCCTGGGGTGTCCGAGCAAGATGTCCGGGACCTGCGCTTTGGGGTGGAGCATGGTGTGGACATCGTCTTTGCCTCCTTTATGCGGAAAGCTAGCGACGTGGTTGCTGTCCGGGCTGCTCTGGGGCCAGAAGGACAAGGCATCAAGATCATTAGCAAAATTGAGAACCATGAAGGTGTGAAGAAGTGAGTTTCATTCTTTGTCCCCATCAAGCCCTAAACCATCCCCATCGCCCCTCCTCTTCTCCTGCCTACCTCTTCTCGGCATCTCCTGGCTCTTCCCCAGCCCTGACTCCCCCAACTGCCCAGGTTTGATGAAATCCTGGAGGTGAGCGACGGCATCATGGTGGCACGGGGTGACCTGGGTATCGAGATCCCAGCCGAGAAGGTTTTCCTTGCTCAGAAGATGATAATTGGACGTTGCAACTTGGCGGGCAAGCCCGTTGTCTGTGCTACACAGGTCTGGAGTGAGCCCTCAGGGCTGGGGCACTCTGTGGGACGCCCGAGGGTGAATACCCCACCGTAGGTCTATAGCACGCTTGCTGTCAAGCGTTTGATCCTCAAACAACCAAGTTAGGAAGAAATACCCCCATTTTTGGATGAGGAAGCTGAACAGCCAGGATCACACAGTTTGTGACTGTGACACTGGCTTTCAGGGCACTCTGAGAGTGTGGATGTCAGAGAAGTAGCTTGGGCAAGGTCCTCAGTCAGAGTGTGACTCCTACAGCTCTGACATCCAGATGTCTCCCAGATGCTGGAGAGCATGATCACGAACTCCCGGCCAACTCGGGCAGAGACGAGTGATGTGGCCAACGCTGTGCTGGATGGGGCCGACTGCATCATGCTGTCGGGGGAGACTGCCAAGGGCAACTTTCCTGTGGAGGCCGTGAAGATGCAGCATGCGGTAGGAGCTCAGAATGCAAGGCGAATGGGCCGGAAAACCAACCCCCTTCCAGATGCCAATGCCCCTGCCCAGCCTGACCTCTTGGTGCCTACAGATTGCCCGGGAGGCAGAGGCAGCGGTGTACCACCGGCAGCTGTTTGAGGAGCTGCGCCGGGCAGCACCACTGAGCCGTGATCCCACTGAGGTCACTGCCATTGGCGCTGTGGAGGCTGCTTTCAAGTGCTGTGCTGCTGCCATCATTGTGCTGACCACGACTGGCCGGTGAGGGAGACACTGGGAACACCAAGACAGGGCTGTGGGTCAGGGGCAGGCTGGGATGGGCCACTGGCTTGGGTTTTGTCTCGTCAGCAGAGATGAAGAGTATCATTCTGGCATGAGGAGAGATAGCTATGAGAGTGGGAGGCCAGGAGAGGCAGGTCTTAAAGCACACTAGCAATTGTGCCAGTGAGCTCCAGGGGGTTGGAAGGAGAAGGTGGCATCACTGGGTGCATTGGCTTCCAGGCCATTTGGGCTCTTAGGGCTCAGAGGCAAGTCCTGTGCATTTAGCCCACAAAGCCTTACAAGGCTGAAGTGTTGCAGAAGGGTCCAGAAGGTCTGAGTTCAAGTCTTTGCTCTGAAACTTAGATCTGACCCCTTGGGTAAATCACCCTGGCTCTATAAGCCTCCTCCGTTTCCTCATGGGGTTGTGAGGATTAACAGGAGACATTCGTAAGTTAAGTACCATAGAAAGGTACATTCTCAGAAGGGTTTTATGTTTCTCAAAGAGGTTTCTTATTATCTCACTTGATATGTCCTTTATTATCTCATATCTTCCTGTGTGGTAAGAAGGGCAGGCATTCTTACACCCATTTTACAGGTGAGAAAACCAAGGCCCAGATGACTTACCCAGGGTCACACAGTTTGTTGGTGACACCTGGAACCAGAACACAAACTCTTTTTCTTGGTTAAACACTCTTTCACTGTTCTGGGCTGACCTTCTCTGTCTCCTTCAGCTCAGCCCAGCTCCTGTCTCGGTACCGACCTCGAGCAGCAGTCATTGCTGTCACCCGCTCAGCCCAGGTTGCCCGCCAGGCCCACCTATGCCGAGGAGTCTTCCCCTTGCTCTACCACGAACCTCCAGAGGCCATCTGGGCAGATGATGTGGATCGCCGGGTCCAATTTGGCATTGAAAGTGGTGAGCCACCTAGACTTCCTCCCCACCCACCCTGACTTCCTCCCCACCCACCCCTGAATTTGTATCATGACTCCCGCAACCCCACTTCCCACACTCCCCAAAAGGGCCTTGCCTCTCTCCTCTGGTCCCAGATTTTCTCTGTGAGGTTCACTAAGACTCAGAGATATTTTGGCCTCCAGGGTCGGGGGGGATATGCTGAGGGAGGAGGGCAGAGGGAGAGCGGTCAGGGCCATCCCTAAGAAGTCAGCCCACCTGCTGCCTGCACCAGGTGCTTAGAGCCAGGCGTGACATAAGGAGCAAGAGGTGAAAGAAAGGGGGACCCAGTCCCCCACAGCTGGAACTAAAATCTAATTTACAAGTGGCTCTGATCATACCCCACCTCTTCCTATCAGACAGCAGCACAGGTGGACAGACTTGCTACTTAGGAACACACCCCATGCCACCCACAAACCTGCAGCTCTGATATACTGCGGTGGTCACATTCCCTGTGGTGCCACCTGTGGGACACGCTGTAGTTTGCCTCAGGCCCCTCATTCCCTACAGGGTGGCCTTAGGAGATGGAGGGTGGCGACTTGTTCTCATTACAGGGCTGGCCTGGGTCCCTCAATGGCTGATTGTCATCTTCTTCCCCCCATCCCAGGAAAGCTCCGAGGTTTCCTCCATGTTGGGGACCTGGTGATTGTGGTGACAGGCTGGCGGCCTGGCTCTGGCTATACCAACATCATGCGGGTGCTGAGCATATCCTGAGATGCCCTCCCCCTCTGACCCAGCCAGCCCTGGACCCCATCCCTCCTACACACTCCCGCCACCCCACACCCCTCCTACAGCCCCACGTTTAAGTCTTCTCTACCCCCAATCCTCCCTACCCATCTGCCATCTAGCTCCATTCCAGGGTGCCCCTTCCCCCTCTCCATTTCACACAGGCCCTGAAAGTCTGTGTCCAATTAAGCACTGGTGATCCAGCAGCACCAACCGTACATACCCTGCATCCAGTGCTCTCAGCTGGGCCCTAAGATGCTCTGAGCCTTTAATCTCAGCTTAACTGGTTAATTCTGTTCCCTCAGGCTTCCCATGCTGGAGGTGGGGGAGAGGGGAATGGAGCAATCATGCCCACAGTCTCCACAAAATTACTATTTTAAAGATATCCCATATCCATGCAGTCTGACATTTTCATATGTGGCCCTCATGATGATCTGGGCATCTCCCGAGGAGAGTGCCACCTCTTCCTTCATTGTGACTAACAGTGACACTGAAGCGCCACCCTTTTGGGGAAGCCAGGGCAGATGTATGCTGGGAGCGCTGAGAGTGGGGGCTCATCCTGTCACTGTCTTTGCAACCTCTGCTGGGCTCGCAGGCCACTCCCGGGCCGCTCTCATGGCCACCTCAGGCCTTGCTGGGTCAGACACCCTGCTACCTCCTCCTGCACCCGGAAATTCCTTCATGCCCACTTTGTTCCCACACACAAACCAGGAGCCAAATGAGTGTCTCTATTTTCTTTTTAAACCCAGCTATTTGGAAGCAATTATAAAACTTCTCCCACACACCCAAAACCCCAGAACTCCCCACCCAGGAGAAAAGGAGATTTAGGATCCTGACCCCACATTCTTTGATGCTGTAGAGTAGGTGTGGGGACAGAGGGAGTGGTAAGGGATTTCTCTTGTCCCTGAGAAGGCAGAGGTGCTGGCTGGCCTGCCCTTCCCCAGGCTTGGATACCTTGGGCCCTCTTGCACTACCAGCAAACTCAGTCTGGAAAGTAAAAACTAAAAGTAAAAACGGTCCTCCTCGCCGTGTAGGGTGGCCCTTCCTACCCCTACCTGGATAGGGAGAGGGTTCCAATATTGCTGCCGATGGCGATGGACAAGGACCACAAGAGCTAGCATGGAGGGGCCCTGTCCCTTACTATCTCCCTGCCAGGCGGGGAGGGGAGGGATGGATAAAGGAATGAGTGAATAAACTGAATTGATAATAAATTAAATTAGCAAGTGAATAAATAAATACAATTATTAAATAATTGAATAAATAAGAATAAATAAGGAAGTAATGGAGGAAGGAAAGAAAAAATGCCATCTAAGGATTCAGCCACTTGCTCCCCACCTAGGGGGCATCTAGGCTGGCACACTATATAAGGAGGTGCCAACCATCCCTTAGCTTCAGGGCGGACACCACTGGGGCAGGGACACAGGGGAGGAGGTGGCTCCCAGTTTACAAAAAGACAGTTCTACCACAGAGACAGAGAGTGCAGGGAGGAGACATGTGTTCCCAGTCATGGGGTATAGACAGGGAGGGTCCACACTTGGAAGTGAAGGTGGATGCCCACCCTGGGGACCTATGACATTTGTCAACAGCAACAGGGGCACAAGTAATTGGCAGTGCCCAGCTATGCTAGGGGAACAGAAAGATAACCATGCTAGGCGGAACCTGCAGGGTCATGGACAGGGAAACAGAGACATCTAGTTACTTGGCAGTGATGGCGGTGGCAAGTACTTGTGCTTAGTAAAATGGGATCATTGGTCCGGGCCTGCACCTGGCAGGACCATGGCCGAGGGAATACCCTCGTCAGAGGGCTTGGAGTCACTTCTACTTGGCAGTGGAGACATACAGCGCTTGGCACAGTGCCTTGAACATGGTAGGCGCTTGGTACATTTGATGGATGGGTGAATGGATTAGGAGGATGTCAGACAGGCTGCAGGGTGCCTGAGCTGAGGACAGAGACCATCTTCTTAGTAGTAAGGGGAGATAATCCCATAGGGCAGTGTTTTAGGTCCCCTTGGCCCTCCCCAAGAGGTGTCTGCTCTCGGGCACACACTGCTGCACCCAAGAGCTTACCCAAAGGTTTCACATGTTGGCAGAGAGCTGGGGGCCCCGGGGGGTGGCTGGCTCAGGCACTGGTGGCCTGAGGGGCTGAGCTGTCCCTGGAGGCTTGGCCAGGAGCCCTGAGAGGGGCAGGCGTTCACTTCCTGAGCCCTTCCGCCCAGGAGAGCCATCACCCGCTGCCCGCTGAGGCAGAGAAGGTTGGGAGGCTGAGAGTGGGCGGCCCCGAGGTCCTAGTCGTCGGCCACCTCCTCCTGGGGGGGGGCCCAGCAAGGACACCTGGGAGCGCCCTGCCCGGGAAAGGCTAGCGTGGAGGGTTCGAGCAGGTGGGGCTGGCAGGCGGGAGGTGGATGCCCATGGCCCCGGGGCCAGCAGAGGGCCGGCTCGGACAGGCACCAGCGGGGAGGCTGGGGAGCCAGCTGAGCGTCGAGCAGAGCGAGCCAGGAAGGTGGCTGGAGAGTCAGGGGAGAGGGGCAGAGGGCCCCGCTGGTGAGTCAGGGCAATGGCCACATTGGAGGTCACGGCGGCTGCCTGCAGGGGTGCGTGCACCAGTGGCTCCCACAGCACTGGCTTTCCGCTGAGCCGAGCTCCTGTGCCTGGGGCCAGGCCCCGAACACCCCGAGCCATGTCCCTGTCGTGTTGTACCAACTGCTGCTCCATGATGCCCCCACTGCTGCCAGGACTCGGCTCAGAGCGCTTCCTCTGTAGTATGGAATTCTTCTTGCCTAGAAGTTTTCCCAGGAGGGAGGAGTTAAGAATAGGGAAGAAATCCAATGTGAAGGTTGGATATCAAAGAGAGTGAGCTTAACAAGATGGAGGCAAGGGATGGTGGTGGGGTGAGGGTAGGGGATGAGGGTCAAAAGTATGGAGGGTTGGGGGATGGAGGGATGGAGATGGGGGTTGGAGGAGGAGGGTCAAGGGATAACAGTATGTATCAGAGGTGATGAGGGTCATGAACTGGTACTCAGGGAGGGAGGACTCAGGGCATGGGGACTCAGGGTGATATCTCCAGCAGTAGAAGATGCTGAGTGATAAGGACAGCGAGCAACAGTGTTGAAAGGCCTACTGGAGGCATTTGCTGGGACTGGGGTGGGCTGGAGTGGAATGCTGAATAGCTTCTTGCTATGGAGATGGGGTGACGGCACAGCCTGGACCCAGAGCAGACAGGGTGGACAGGCCTCACCGATGCGGCGCAGCCGATCCATGGCCACAGTCTCGAAGGCCCGGCGCATCATTGGGAATTCCTCGAGCACCGCATTGAAATGGTCCACGCTGAGCGAGTAGAGGCGGCAGTAGGTGTCAGCCCGCACGCTGGCCGTGCGCCGGCCCCGAGTCAGCAGACAGATCTCTGCCGAAGTTGGGAGAAGGCCTTGAGAACCACCATTCCCAGAACTCCCTCTCACTGGCATGCAAGCAGCTGACTCAGCTTCCTCAGGTTCCCTCCCAGATGGGGAAATTAGTGACCACCCACCCAACCCAGGTCCCTAAATGCTCCAAGCATTGTCTTTCTCCAGACCTGCACAATTACCATCCTTCTCAGGCTCTCCAAACTAAAGCCGACAAACAGGCAGGTCTGGCTGGCCCGCACATTCCTAGTTCTTCCACTCCACGTTAATTCCCACCCCACCTCCCCTGCTCTGTCCCGAGGGGTAGGCTTGGGGCAGTGCCCTCTGTGTACCCTTCCCTCCCACCCCTTGGAGTGAACACCAAGGGCAACCAGAAGGAGAAAAGCAGTGCCAAAGGGCAAAGGCAACACGACAGGGATGCTGGAGGGGGCGGGTGGTTTGGGGACTGAGAGATTACATGAGCCTCAAGTCACTTTGGGCAGCAGCTGGCAGAACTGCCCCCACTGCCACAGGCTGGGTCCCTGGATCACACCAGCAGGGAGCCACCAAGCTCAAGGCCCTTGAACAGCACTGCTGGATTCCTATCTTGCCCTCATCTCATAGGCTCCTCGGATTTCACTGCTTAAGGGTTCTAAGAGGCCCACTGGCCCAGAAATTTTCAACCTGGCTGTGCATTAGAATCTCTTAAGAAGCTTTTTATAAAATACAGAGCTCCAGGCCCCAGGCCCAGAGATTCTGATTAAGTAGGCCTGGGGAGGGGCTGGAACTCTGTGATGCTGCAGCACAACCAGGCAGGGACCCTGATCCAGGGGAGCAGTTGCCCTCTGTCCTCTGTTCGAGTCCCCCCACCCACCCTGAGGCCTGCTGACCCCCAAAGTAGGATCCGTCAGTGAGGCGGGTGTCCCGGGCGCCACGTGCCAGCACACTGAGAAGCCCATGCTGGATGAAGTACATCTTCCTGCCCACGGAGCCCTCACGCACCACGAGGTCTCCCGGCTGGAAGACCTCAAAGCGCAGTTTGGTGAGCACTGCCGTGACGAAGCTGGGGTCGGCGTGGGCGAACAGCGGCATGTGGGCCACCAGGCCTCGGCAGGTGTAGTTAATGATCTCCTGCGCAGGGGAGGGGCCTGTCAGGCAGGCTGTGCCCCCTGCCCTGAGGTGCCCCTATCAAGCTCATCTGTCTCCAGAGGCCCTACCCCTGGAGGCATGATCTGCCAAAGGATGGGGATGCTTCAGTGGGCCTGGGACCACCCCTAAGCTCCTGCCTTCAGAGCTCTCCCATGAGCCCTTGCAGGACCATACCCCCAAAATGGAGAACCCTGCAGCCCCTCCCCATGTATACTTCACCCCCATTAGACCTTCAAGAAAGACCCTAGCCCCTAAAAGCCCCCCAAAGTCCTGGCCTCCTGTGGGGCCGTCTGCAGGCCCCACACCCTATAGGTGTACCAGCTGACCAACAGCCCCTACCCCACATGGCATCCCAGAAGCCCAAGTCCTTGAAGAGGCCCCTCCAGGGCCGCGCCCAGTCCCACCTCCCGCAGCGGCTCGCTCAGCTCGCCCAGGATGCTCTCCTCGTCGAACATCTTGCCCTGGTAGCGGTGCTCATAGTATTCATGGATGCGCTGCCGGGTGTCAGCTGGCAGCTTGTGGAAGGACATGTACTGCTCCACCTGCTTGTACTGGAGGGCCAGCCAGTGGCCAGCAGGCAAGAGGACACAGAGACAGATGTGGGGCAGGAACAGGGTGGGAGCGAGGTGTGGAGGAAGATCACAGGCAGGGCCATATCCAGAGGGGTGAAACATGGAGACAGATGGGGATACACACGGCCACAGAAGGACATGTGGATAATGGTGGATACAGGGAGGACACACAACAC